CTGAAGGAATTTTTTTGGTGTAATTTTTACTCTCCAGGATAATCGCGAATCGGTGAGCACTGGCAGCCCATTGAAATACCATTCGATATTAGGCTAAAAAAATGAGAGTCACCGTGTTGCTGCAGGAATACGAATTGATGCAACCTGAAGTTTCCAGTAGGCCTTACTACTAAATCTATTCACAGCATTTTCAGCGCAATCTATATAATCCTACGAACATATCAGAGGGTTCTTCTTCGACTTTCTTGTCCTCAAAACAACATAACTCGTTTGACAAGCTATTTCAGTCTCGAGCAGCTTTGTTGCAATTTTTCAACAAGTATGAGATGTTGTTTCACCCGATCAACAGGAATAGTTGCGATTCTTGGTTAGATTTCTGTCACCACTCACACTGTAACGTGAAACCCGTGGTTTTATTGTAGCTCTACATTAGGTATTTCTTACGATATAAAACTGCTTATTTTTAAACTAATGACAAAACTGTATATCATTTGCACTAAGTTCTGAATAATTTTCTTACTCTTAATCCGACGAGTATGCAAAGCTCAAATTGTCACGCTACATTTTTTTTTTCAAAAGTTTTTACTTTTTGCTACTTCTCTTTTATACGCTACTGGCTTGTGAAGCTACGTAGTGCATTAGATATTTTAAAATTTAGTCTAAATAGCAAAAATGGAAAGAAACAAGAATTTCTGACAAAATTTTTTGTTTTTCGGCAAAGTTTTCAGCGCTCCTGGATTTTCTTCCTGGATTTATGCATCTGACTGGGCTAAAAATTTCCCCCTCTAGGCTCAATTTCCGGGTCAGCTTCTTCAAAATGGTTCCGACGTTTCTTGCACACAGAAATGAGAACGGTTATCCATTCTGGATAAATTGGTGGCACGTTATGTACAATTAATTTGTAAACTAGCACCTGCGAAATTAAACTCTCGAAGTATGCGAAACGAACTGCAATGAATAACTGGGAAACACATCACCTTCTTTTCTTTCTTTCTCTTCGGGCACTCCAGCACTAGAAACAGGCCCTGGATGAGTTCAAATTCGTAGTTGACGCTGCGCAGCTGCAGTCGATAGAATGCCTGCTTGCCCAGGAAAACTGCCTTCAGTAACAGTCTCTTCTTCCTCGTCCAGTCTTTCCTCACGCCCTCCTTCCGCTTCTTCATTCGCCAATCATATTTGCCACTGGTTAATTTGCCTAACTTTTTATGATAATTTTTCGCACGCCTGCAAATCCGCAAAAGAACTTCAAACTGGATGCCTCTGGACTGAAAGAATGGTCACTTGGATAGCCTTCAAAAAAGATAAGCTTAAAGAAAGTGAAAAAAGTCCAAAATCAAAAACTCGTCCGTATTCGCTCTCTTAAAAAAGGAGTGGGAGAAACATCTGGAATGCAACCTGAATGGTAAGAATGCCACAAATAACCACCAGCTGTAAATGCTATCGACGGCTTCTTTTTTTGTGGACCGCTTAGAATTTTGACGAATTTGACTCCCTGGCATAATGGCAAGACTAGTTTACCACCAGAACGAGTTAGAGAATAGTGGTGTCACTGTAAAAAACTAGA